GAAAAAAAATGGGGCTTCCTTCGTACGTTACAAAATAAGCTCTTCAACATACCAACATTGAGTTACAAGAGAATGCCATACTTAAAAGGGAAAACTACAAGCTCCTAACAAGGCAGGTCAGCCACGAGGCCAGAGAACAGGATCAAGGGTGAGTTAGTAGGGTATGTGGAGCTGTTTGAAATAAGATGGATGAGATTATTACAAGAAGCGTTTCCACCTATGGTGTGACACACGCAGACAATGAGCCAAAGGAAAACAGTGACAATAAACATCAGTAGTAATGGAAGGATTTGCTTGTAAATATGGCTTTGTTGTATACTATCTATTTCATAGCAGGCATGTATGTCAATTAACAGTGGTAGGAGTCCCGTTGGCAGTGCCCTGCGTTTCCATGCTCTTAGATTCCTGCAAAAAAAAAAATCCAATTTACAACTACATTGAGAAAGCTACTTGAATATTTATTTCAGTATGTGTAACATCAACATTTATGTTATTAAGAAACAAAGACATTAGATTAAATAACAATGAAGACTTGTAGTTCAAGTTTTAAGTTATACCATCAGTGGTGATGTGTGTCCTTGTGTGTCCACTCTGCCACTGCGAAAAACTTTTGGACTTAATAATAAAATAATTAATCCTCCATCCATCACCTGAGTAATAATAGTTTTAGTATCCTTGAGTATGTTTTACCAATTTGAAAGTAACTTTAGAAATTAATCATTTCATTTAGAAATAAAACTAATATAAGGTCTACTGTGCTGTATACAAAACAATGCATGAACTTACCTACGAATGTGCTCTATGTAGAAAAAAGCTCTTGGCTAAGCTCATCCCTAAAAAAAATACATACAATACAGTTACAGCTGTTGTATGTCTGTTGAGCTTACTTGTTGTGGTTGGCCTGCTATCTCACCCATCTTGCTGTCATTCTGAGGTAACTGAAAAAAAAAATTATTATTATGGTTGTTTGAATTTGTGGACCACCATTTATGTTCTATGGCATGGACAATGAAAAGGATTGGAAAAAGGGGTTGCCATAATATCAAACCATGCGGAGGGGGTGGGGGCATATGCACTCTTACAGACATAGACCTATATTACTTAGGAACAGTGTGAGTAAATCTAATATTTGTATAATAGTTTTTTAGCCCGACACCACAAAAGTATCAGATATTGTTGCAATACTGACCTTTTTTCGTGTAACAAAGGGAGTCACTTACCGGTGCATAGTTCCATATGTTAACTGTACTAGCAGCTGCCACTAGCTAGTTAGCGGTCCTATGAGCTGACTGTACCCAGACAGGGAGCTCGAAGGAAGAAGAGTTAACAGTGCAGGAGTGAGGGATACAGCGGGGAATGCTGCCAAGGAGCGAATGTGTTTTTTTACTGTATTGCCGTAAACATATTGCTACACACTACAAGGGCCGTCACTTTCTATTAGAAATTTTAAAATTAATTTGAACCTGGTTAATTTTTGAAGTGTAATTACCTGTTTTGAATTCAAAATGTACAGTCTATAAACGCAACAGACCATTCCAGCCGAGGGAGCTCCAATATCAGCTATCAGACCTATGGCACGCCCTATTGACCTGTCTGTAAACTAAGCTAGTAATTTTATGTTGTTTGCTACAAAAATAGTGAACACTAGTGATCAAAGCATGGAGCAAAGTGGGCTATATATACATTATTGCCCATAAAGTTGGAAGAATTTTTTTATAGACACATTCCTCTTGATTACATACTGTGTCCCAGTTACCCAGGTTAAACAAATTCAATTCAAACAAATGTTTGGCACTATAAAAGGCAAGACATTCACTGTGTTGTCCTTTTCCTGCTTAAAATCTGTATGTAAAGTCCACGTTTTCAGAATTGGCCGTATAATTTTCAACCAAATTTGACACAGAAGTTCCCTAGGCTATGCCTCGTCCGACGCAACTGGCAATACGCCAAAGAGTGCTTGCACTCTGACAGGACAGACACAAACAAGCTAACATTGCTAATTTCCTTGGAATATCACAGAGTGCCGTCTGTAAAATCCTCAAACATGATCGAGAGGAGGGTAATTTGAGGCCACGAAAATCTCCAGGACGATCACTCGTCTGATAACTACCAGACGAGATGATCTGCAACTGATTAATCTGTGTCGTAGAAATCGGGAAAATGCCAGCAAGCCGACTTCGTCATTTGTGTCGAAGATTGCTTCAGCATGGTTATCGAGCAAGACGAATGACCAAGTGTCCATGCCTAACTGTTTAACACGGAGTTGCTCCCGCTGGGCTAGGGAGCACAGAAGATTAGAGCTTGGGCACTGGCAACATGTCGTTTTTATGGATGAGAGCCGCTATATCCTTCACCATATAGATGAAAGAAAAGGTGACATGGTGAGAACCTCCGCGATAACTGCATCCAGGTAACCACTCAAGGAGGTGGTGGCTCAGTGATGGTATCGGCCCGCATTCATTATTGAGGAAAAAGCCATTGGTGATGTTGGATGGAAACGTCAACACCGTCATGTACCGTGACATCCTTGAGAACCATCAACAAGCTTGTGGACAGTATGCCACGACGTGCCAAGAATGCGGCCCAGGTGTGGCATGAAAGCAATAAACCCCCAAACACCGGCCCTTCATTGGT